TAGTACTGCAGCCAAGCCCTGAGAAACACGTGCAGAGACCAATAGGGTTAGCGAACTGAACAACTCATGTATTCACTGCCTGCCTCGATTTCGGTAGAGGGTCCTTGCTAAATTGCTGCAACGACCATCGCCGCCGAATTGCCTGTGCAAAATTTTTAGGACTCTAACTCCATATCAGTCATAAAAAAAATGGGGAGAAAAAATTGTTGCTTTTTAATTTTATTTTTTCTTTTTTTAACCATTTTTATTTTTTCTTTTTTATTTTTTTTAATTCGTAAATAAAATAAAATAAAAATTAAAATTATGAGGTTGTAGGGTTTTGCAAACCCTACAACCCCATATTATATATATACTATGTAACACCCGCGGACGCGTCCGCGGGGTTGAGCTCGGAGGGCGGACGCAAACACGGCCGCATCCGCGGCCTACCGGGTCCGCGTCGCGGATGTGATTTGACCAGATTTTTTCGGAATTAAATAATAGGCAAAAAAAAAAAAAAAAAGGTTGTAGGGAATTTTCAGCCCTACAACCTCATATTTTTGTTTTTGAAATCCGACTTCGTTTAGGATTTTTAAAAAATCCAAAACTAAATTTGATTTAAAGAAAAAAAATAAAATAAAAAGAAAAGGAGGAATTTTTTTTTTTTTTTTTTTTATAATGAGACACATGGTCCCTGAGTTCACCTGTATTTTTTTTAGAAATGAATATGTGTATTTTGCAGGGGTATGAGCTGTTTTTAAAAAAATACAGATTTCCAATTAAAAAAAAAAATGCAAAGGCAAAAATTAAAAATAACTGAAAAACAGGGTTTGATTGATTCATTGATTCATTGATTGATTCGTTGATTGTGAGTGTGTGTGTGTGTGTGTGTGAGGGAGAGAGAGAGAGAGAGCTTTTGCTCATCCTCTCGATGGAAGTTGCAGGAGGCCGCGGCTGGCCTCGCGCAACTTCCATCGAAAGGATGAGCAAACTACAGAGGGGTGTGTGTGTGTGTGTGTGTGTGTGTGTGTGTGTGTGTGTGTGTGTGTGTG